TGGTTTCTCTCATATTTAATAAAGTTTTCCTTTATTAATCCTAACATTATAATGTCCCCATACATTAAATGTTACAATTTTTTATCTTAAAGTTATTAAATCATATACAGTATATATAACATTTATAATAAAATAATAAGTAATTATTAAATTATATATTATCTTTTAATTATATATCTTATTTAAAAATTCTATAATATTAATTATAAAATAATAAATAAAAATTTTAATTTTGTATTATTTATTTTAGACAAGCAATTATTTTTAGCTAAGAAATAAAAAAATCTATAATATTCTAATTCAAAAATATTTGTATTTGATATTTAATACTATATGTATTATTTAATTAATTAACTTATTAATAATACAATAATTAAAATGAAATAAAAATGATTATATTAATAATTACTATAAATAAATTATTTTTTTTTGTAAATAATAATAATAATATACTTTTATTATTATAATATTTATATTTTGTAAATATTATAAAATGTTATTAATTTATAATATTTATTTTTTATATAAATATATATATAACAATTCATTTTTAAATACTATTTTTTTTTAAAAAAAAATTAAGTAATCAAATGAATACAAATAATATAAATGGTATATTATTTTATTACTTAGATTATATATAAATAAATAACTTAAAATTTAAGAATAACAATAATTCTTTTTATTGTAAAACATCTTTAGTAAATAGTTTTGAATATTTCTAATAATTATATTATTTTCTTAATAATCTCAATAATAGGATTTGACTTTTGCCTAAGTTTTATATTTTAAAATTTATATATGGCATTGATTTTTATAACTAGAAAACTATATAAAAATTTGATTCTTTAATTGGGATAACTTGAAATATTCAAATTTAATTTTTTTGAAAATTAATTATAATAAAATATCAATTATTGGCAGTTTCTAATAGTCTAATTATCACTAAAAATAGATTAATTGACTAGAAATTTTCTAAGTAAAAGGTTACATTGATACTATAATTATATATTGTTGAAAGTTTTTCTTTTATCTCAAAGTTAAAATAAAAGAAAAGTTTATTAAGATTAATAACTTGTTTAAAATCTTTTATAGTATTAATATTTAATTGGATTAATAAATTTTTATATTCTTGAAAGCTAATTTCTATTATTGAATTAGTACTTGAAGTGGTTTTGTTTTTATAATTGAAACCAGATTTTCTTTGATACATTGACTAGACAATTATTTTTTGTCTTATATAATTAAAGAAATATTGTTTTATTAACTGAAATAGTGATTTAAGATTTATTAGTATAACATTAACATATTCTAAAAGTTCTATATACTTTCAGACTATAGTAACTTCTCTTGATATAAATATATAGCGATGAGCAATTTTATTTGAGATTCTTTAATAATTTTTATTTACTTTAGTTCTATTCTAATTTTACTTATTATTTTTATTGCATATTCTTTTCTGCCTCTCCTTCCTTCCCATTTTTTAGTAATTTATTCTATCACCCCCTTTTTCAATAATTGCTATATACCTTTCTTTCATTGATCTGATTATATTATTTATCTCTTCTTCCGATGTTTGATCCCATTCCTCTTTTATTATTTTTCCTAAATCCCCTTGGTCCTTTGGTCTCCTTTTTTCCACTCTCCTCTTAATAATTCCCCACAGATTTTCTATTGGGTTCAAGTCAGGGCTGTTTGATGGCCAATCTATTTCTGTCGGCACATTTTTCTTTACAAATTCTTTTGCTATTTTACTAGTATGTTTAGGATCATTGTCTTGCTGGAATCTCCAATTCCTTCCTCCTATTCTTTTTACCTTTGGTAATTGTTGTTGAAGGATATTAACATATAATTTAGCATCCATTTTTTCTGTAAAGCAATAGAGATCTGCTTTTCCAAAGGTTGAAAATCCTCCCCAAGCGTGGATCTTTCTTCTGTCTTTTGGGACTGGTTGTACTGGTCTACTATTCTTATACCATACTGTCAATGTATTTCTGAACAGTTGAAAGGATGTCTCATCAGAAAATAAAGTTCTAGACCAGTCATCATCTTTATGTTTTTGGGCCCATTCCACTCGTTTTCTTTTATGTTCTTTTGTAAGCATAGGTGTTGCGAGAGGTAGTGAATTGGTATATCACATCCTATGGAGGTGTTTTCCCACAGTATGTCTAGAGACGGTTATTCCTTGGTTTTTTAATTTTTCTACAAGACTTTTTGTTGTTTCATAGGGGTTTCTTCTAACATTCTGTCCAATGATTCGTGTTCCTTTTTCATTAATTTTTCTTTTTCTTCCCGATCCTTTTATTCTTTCTACATTTCCTGTATTTCTAAGTTTTTTCAAATTATAATAGATGGTTGAAAGTCCTATTTCTGTTCTCTTATGAATTTCTTTAGCATCCATTATTCCAATATTCCAATAATAGAGGATAACAGTTCTTTGTTGTTCCTTTGTTACATTCATTTTGTCTACCACTTATTTTCCTTTTTTTGATTATCATTTATCTAGTTTTTGATCTGCTGGTATATTTCCTTAAATTCTATATCATTGATTCGAGCTAGGTTTTTCAAAACTACTGTTCTTACTATTTCTTCATTTTCACTATACATATTTTTAACATATGTTTTTCTTTTTAGGTATTGCTTTATTACAAATTACTCCAAGTATTTGTATTTGAAGTTCTACTGGTAAATCTAAGATATTTTTCATTATTCTTTTATCTCTCTGAGAATAAAGGTTCCATCAGAAGCCCTTTTATACTCTTCTGGGTGTTGTAATTTATATAATTCATTCTCTTTCCTTTTTATTTTCTTATCATAATATTTTTTAAGAAATACACTATTCTTCCTTCTTATTTCTAGCTGTGATATTTGTCCTTCTAAACATTCTATAACTTCCATATATTCTTGAACTTCTTTGTTTATTTCTTTAACCATTTGTGCTGTTGTCTGTCTATAAGGGAGCCCCTGTCTTTTTCTTTCTTTCTGTTCTTGTAGCTCAAATATCAATTGTGCTTTTTGTCCAGGCCATAAAGAAGTATCATTCCTGATTTCTTCAAGTGTTGTCATTTCTATCACTTATCTCAATTATTTTTTCTTCTCCTTTCACTTCAGAGGTATTTATAATTTTTTATCATCATTGCCGTGGTCTCTTCGGAATTGTGGTCGTCTCACTCTTTGAGTGGAAGTTCAGTAAGTAATTTAAACTAAACTTTATGTTGAAGCTTAAGAGTCTTACTAAGATAACTTTGCAGTCAAGGTTATTATACCATGTTGAGTTGATAATAAACTATTATAAATACCATTTATTAATCTATTCTTTCTTAAACAAATAAGTACCTAATCCCTTTACTATATTATCTGTTACTTTAGCTGCTACCTTAGATGTTGTACTATTATCTAATATGTTATCAATATTTCTTTCTATATGTGTTACTATAAATTCTGTTAAATATGTTGCAAACTTTCCTTTTAACTGTGTCACTATAAAATCTCTTATTATTTCTGTGCATTTCTATCTGAATGTGTCCTTGATAAATTTTCCAGTTCTATTCCTTAAAGTATCCATTATTAAGTTCTTTAGTTGGTTTCCTAGTAATGATGTTACTGTTGTTATTAATGCTGTCTATATAAAACTTATTTGCAATCCATTATTTCTTATTTCCTTTTTCATTAGCTGTCCTAGTTCATACTCCAAGTGTTGTCAATATCTTTTCTTATAACCAGTGTTGTAACTACTTCCATTTCTATTATAATTGTTAGTCCTACTATATCCTATATTCCTATTGTTATAGCTTGTATTTCTTCCTGGGTAACTATTCCTTCTTTCAAATGGTTCTTGTATTTTCTTAATTCCATCTTTATGATCAGGTGATATGTGTTCTTTTTCATGACATGTATAGCATTTTACTTCCATTAATTTCTTAGCTGTATCCACAAACATTTTATCTCTTTCACTCTTTGAC